TATATATATATATATATATATATATATATATATATACTTTGACTAACCAAAACCAGGTCAAAGTAGCCGTGATCTTGCTTGTAAGTTCAGTCCAGGGTGCTCAGGGTCTCTTGTTGTCTCCTGGCCAATTAGTCTGGGATTCCCAGTCAACTCAAGGTAATTAAGTTATCATCAAAGTGAATTAGCTCGAGTATGAATGAAAGTCACTGATGGCATGTTTGTTTGGATTAATGCTGATGGGACTTTCATTTTTGGATTCACAAGAAAGTGAAATTGATCTGCTTTATGGTTCACCATTAGAAATGTTTCTCTCTTACTTGGCATGTCATTGCTAAACATACACAGGAAAACAAAGCCTGATTTCATTGAAGGAGCCAACATGAATATCTGGGTTTGCTGTAGCATAAGATTGATTTATTGTTTTAATGTCTCACATTGCCCATTCATCACTGCAACTTGCTTTCTCTGCTCAATAGTAATGAAAAGTCATCATTGCTTTTTAACTACTTATACAGTAAAGTGTTTGGTAGCAAACTGATTTATAACAGATTGATCAAAAATATGTTTTTCATTGTCTTGTTGAGATCTGTAATCACAGTTTACACTGTTGTTTTTTAGACTATTCCTATTCTCATGTTTTACTAAGTGCATTAGAACCGAAACGATCCAAGTAACACAGTACTAAAATGATCCAACAATAACAAACAGTCTGTTTGTCAGTTGTTGTTTTTCATTACTACGGTTTACTGATTTTCATTACTACTAGTAGTGTTTTTAAGTTACTACTATTTGTTTCTTTTAAAATACATTGATCTTGCCATGAAATAGGCATATATGCTGGTATGACAATAAAAATCAAACAAACAAACTGACAAACAGTCTCTTTTTTTCAGTCAAGTCTCTGCAATGGAAAACACAAACCTAGTGAAGAAGGTTAGTGTTCTTTTCGTCTTTATATTTTTTTCTGTTCATCTACAGCATCGCTTTGTGTGACTCAGCGGTCCTTATCTATATAGTAAACTGATTTTTCAGATGAAACCTTGACTCTGTAGGCAAACAGTAAAATATTAAGTCTTATCTAGTGATTGGTGCTCTGACATGAAAAATTAGATTTGAACGCAAATTAAGTCTGTTTTGCTAAAATTAAATATGTTAGTATTTGCAGTGATTAAAAAGTATGTTTTTTTTCCCCCCAATGCTTTTTTAGATCAATGATCACTTGATTGTTGGTACAGAGAAAGAAAAGGAAAGCATCTTGGGTGGAAACAAGTTTTTAATTACACTTTGTAACTAAACTGCATCATGCCTTTTGTCTGGAATTTTTAAAGAGGAAACTGGTAGTACATAATTCCACCAGCGCCCATTGATGTTATTTCTGGTTCATTTGTTGGTGAAATTTCTTTTCACAGCCATGCAGTACTATAAAGACTGGCTTGCATTAAAATTACTTATATTTTGTGATATGTTTATTCAAAAAATAATTAAAGTGCCTGTCTCTCAGATCAGGTGCAACTGATATGGCTTTTATATGTTAGCACTTTTTAGGGAAGTGTTTTGTTTGACCTCAAATGAGTTTGTTGGCTGTGATGAAACAAAGTGTGTTAATTTGAGAAATTCCAACTGTACATTACAAATTGGTGCCAAATACCCTCCAAAACTCCAGATAGCGTGAAATGTGGGTGAAAGGGCAGAGTCTGAATCAAACTGATCGTAAAAAGGGGAGAAATTGTAACTCATAAGAAAAAATACAAGCACACTTTCTGCTGAGTCCACTTCCTTGTTCAATTTGAAACACTTCACTGATCATAAACACTAACATTTGCTTTTTCTCTATCTGCAGGAGTTTATAAGTGTATGGGTACGAGATCCTCAGGTACACAAGGAGGATTTCTGGCATGCGTACATCACCTATGAGATCTGTCTTCATGTGAGTGCAGTAGCCACATGTTTACCTTGTGCTTACAGTGGAATGTTGCTGTTCAGACTTTATTTTCTGATTGAAGTTTGGCTTTCTGCCTATATACATTTTTTTTCAGTGCCACATGTTAACCAATGATAGCGTTAGGTTCACTGTATATTTTTTTTATTATAGACCAATAGTATGTGTTTCCGGAAGAAGACCTCTTGTGTGAGGAGGAGGTATAGTGAGTTTGTTTGGCTGCGTCAAAAACTACAGAACAATGCTCTGCTTATGTAAGTAATTTGAGGATATCACACTCTGGGCGACACAGTATTATATTTTAACATTTGAGGACATTATACTCTGGGCAATATTATATTTTTATTTACAAAAATAAATAAATAAATAAAATCGAGTAATAATATTAAGAGTTTTAATTTCAAGTAACTGCATGTAAAAATGTTATTATTATTTATACAAGTGTAGTCTCTCCCTTTCTTTGCTATTTCTGTAGAGAGTTACCTAAACTCCCTCGTGGGAATCCTTTCTTCAATCTCAATAGTGATTTCCAGATCACTCAACGGATGCGGGGGCTGCAACATTTCCTTGAGGCGTGAGTTTCTTCAGTCACTCTTTGTCATCATTTGCGATTAACTTGATTAAAATAGGTTAGAAAAAATCTATGCATTTAATGTCCTATATTGGTCAGTTCATAATGATCTCAGATTGGGATGAAGGAAATGCAGTATTTTTGCCATCTAGTGGCTGATGGAATGAGACACATTCGCTGTAAACGGTTCGATTTTTATTTTTTTTACTCTAACCAAAAGCATTTGTTTCCACACGTAAAATATATATTTTCACTATATTTAATAGAATAGAAAATATAGACATTAAAATAGAAATTAATGTATTTGACAGTATTACAATTGCCCAAGATCTTTGATGTTAATTTAAAAATATTTTAATCTGTGTTGAATCTTACCATGGTTTAAATACTATAAGTAGAGTTTGTTAGATTAATGTAGATTTGTTTTATTAATTAGAAGAAAAATTTCAATTAGAATTTTTGTATAGCGTTGTATTTTTCTCATCTGCTTAACCTTTTTATTCTTTTATTCTCCTTTTAATATTTATTCTTTGTCACATTTAACATTTTTGTCAATTTTTCCTTTCTCTTTGGAGTGTTACAAGCTCTTGGTGCATAAAGAAGATCTGTAAAGTTGCAAAGACTAAAGTCTCAAATCCAAAGAGATATTCTTTATAAAAGTTAAGAGTCAGCCACGCCTACCTAAAACGGCTCGTTCTAACACGCCCCCACATACCTACGTCACGATCTGGGAAGATTTGCATAAAGCCGCCCAAATGTCCACCCAAAGAAAGAAGGCGTAACTTTTATCCTCGCTGTAGTATTGTTGTTGCCGCCGCCAGCCGTGTGTGACGCTGTGTGTTTCGTTGTGAAAGCGAAACCAGTTTGTTTGGTCTTCCAAAAGAGGACGATATCCGCTTCGCCATGCCTAGAGCTGATCCGTGCTGGTCGCTGAGCAAATACATTTTCACACCGTGGACGAAGAAATGGATGCCATAAATGCCTCATTTATAATGGGTTTTATTGTTTTTGTCTCGTCGCTCCGACCGGGACACGGCATCACAGTAGGGTAAGGGGTGTAGCATTTCCGTCACACGCATGAGGTATTCGGCCAATCACAACGCACTGGATAGCTGGCCAATCACAGCACACCTCGCTTTTCAGACCGATGAGCTTTGTAAAAATCGACGCGTTTCAGAAAGGCGGGGCATAGAGGAGAAACAATAATGTACATTATGTGGAAAATAATGTGTTTTTTGAACCTTAAACCGCATAAACACATTTCGTTACACCAAATACACAAAATAATGTTCTTTTTAGCAACATCATATGACCCCTTTAATGTTTTTAAATGGATTGTTTAAATGGCCTTATCACCAGTTTTATATTTAAATGTTTGTGTTCATAGAGTTCTACAGACACCATTACTGCTGTCAGACAGTCTGCTGCACCTGTTCTTGCAGTCACCGCTGAGCATTGCAAAAATGGACGCGTGTGCACAGGGACAGACTCATTACACGGTTGCACAGGCAATACAGCGGTGTGTCGGGTATACCCGTTTCCCTGTAGAGGAACAGCATCAAGAAGAAGACAGCAAAACATGCTGTGACTCAGACTGTGAAAGGTGTGTGCCTCTGTCTCACTATAATAATCTTACCTAAAACCAGATTTGATCAAGTGGTCTTTACCAGATGTCGTATAGGTCATACAAGACTGACTCATGCATTTTTGCTTAAAGGTGAAGACCCAACTCTATGCATGTTCTGCAAGATAGCCCTTTCTATTAAAAATATTATTTTGGACTGTCCCATTTTTAATGCAAGTAGAAAGCTTTTTTATGAAGTTAGTTCACTTAAGGACTTATTTAGTAAGATTTTGCCTGAAAAGGTTTTAGAATTTTTTATCATATGTTAATTTAAAAAATCTTGTATAAAATTACTTGCTGTATTTGTTTGTTTGCTTGGTTTTATTGTATTTATGTGATACTTTCATTATTGTAATTGAGATTTTGCCTTGAAAATAGCCCCAGATGCTGTCATGGCATTAAATAAAATTATACTATAATATATATGTTGAGAAAAATAGCCATTTTTGCAAATAATAAATAAAAGGGGCATTTAAATATGTTGTAGGTTCAAATAATGTACAAACATTCCATTTAATATATACACAAATTGCAACTTAAACCATGAATATTCATGTAGAATTGATTTTGTATGTTATTTTTTTTCTTTTTGCAGTACAACATCCTCTGGCTTGGGCAATAGTATAGGATGTGCCACATCTGTGGAAGAAGACTCTTCATATAATGAAAGTTTTTCCCATGAATTTCAAGCCACAACCCCTGAGGCAGAACTCTGTAGCAGCCTGTCTTCGTCTCCTAGCAACCAGTAACCCTTGATGTGCATTCTTTTATATGAACTCAAGAGCTGTATACACACACATACACACATACTCTGTCAAAGAGAGTTGCTGCCCAGTTGCTGCTTAGAGCCTCCAGAGTTATATTTGGATGGATATTGAGAGAAAAAATGTCTTGATTATTGTTTTATTACATGTCATGTTTGTGTCCATATTGTTTTGATGTTTTTTTTTTTTAAATATAGAGATATCTTTAAATTTTTGTGGTTATCATATTAAACAATTCTCCTTTACTAAAGGGCTGACTTGGAACGAAAAAAAGGTATTGGAGAAAATGTGAATTGCAAGTTTTTCTTGACACTCAGGTGCACACTGGGTTTAATGTGTACCTGACAAAGAAGCTTCTTAAAACGCTTCAGAATTTTCATCTGTACATATGTGCTTTTGTTTAAAAGATTTTTTTAAAATGTAAGGTGGCAGTTTATTACTTTAAATGTTTCTTAAAAATTCTTATATTAACATTGCTAAAAATGAGTGTCGAGGACTGTAAATTTGAGGAATTCTTTTTTACAAAGTATTTTTTATTGAGATTTTGTGTATATTTAGTGGTAAATGAATAAATGTTTTTTTTGTCCTAATTGTGAATAGAATTTGTTGAAATGTAATGATGTAGATAGTGCTGTTGCCTAGAGATGATAATTATCTAAATAAAATCCTAAATGCTAAATACATTTGCAAATAGAGAAAGAGAATAGTTTCTGCTTATTGTTCACATGATTTGAGCTACTAAAGTTAAATTCAATACATTTTTAGTTTAAAATCATTATATGAGCAACAATAAAAAAGGGAAGGCTGTTGGTGCATAAGAGGAAGCTGGATACAACCATGTTTACATTTCCTCTGGACCACTTGTTTGAAAGATTAAAGGTAGATGTTGCACTTAACCTGGCCACACATGTCTTTTTTTCTCTCTCCTTCTTTCTCCACTCACAACACAGCATTTTTTTGTATCTAATTGTTGTTTAAGAGCGAGATTAAGTTCTCAATAAATGAGGGATGAAGTTTTTGACCGAAATGTTTGGTTGAAACCGGTGGTCTGATTGGGGGATTGTTCGATCTGCGTAGGCGCAGATTCATCAGCGTCTAGCAGCAGCCGATAAACACTTTCAGTATTGTCATCCAGATCACCAGACTCCCAAAACCTCACCAATCTCTGTCACTGCCAATCACCATCACTGTGATGTCAACTAAACACGTAACCCGTTATGTTAATGATTGTTTATGATATATACTGTATATATATATATATACATATATATACTACAGTAAATTAACATACTTTCCAGAAGGCCAACAATTCATTAAAAATGTTTTTTTTTATTGGTCTTATGGAGTATTCTAATTTGTTGAGATAGTGAGTTGGTGGGTTTTTGTTAAATGTGAGCCAAAATCATCACAATTAAAAGAACCAAAGACTTAAACTGCTTCAGTCTGTGTGCATTGAATTTATTTAATACACGAGTTTCACAATTTGAGTTGAATTACTGAAATAAATGAACTTTTCCACGACATTCTAATTTATTGAGATGCACCTGTATATATATACATGTCTATAATATACAATATGTAATCATAAACCAATACAAAAAAATATAACTAAAAATATAGATAAAATAAAAATAGATAGATAGATAGACATACAGACATATCAACATTCAACATAATGTGTAATCATAAACGGTTACAAACACTATATAATAACATTAAATGTTATGATAATTTTTGTATATATTAGGTTAACTATTACAACTTAATTAATTTAAAAAAATATATATAAAATATAAAATATAATATTTTTAGATTCATATATATCAGTATTTTTATAATATTTTTATTATATATGTCAAAATTTAAGTTCATAATCATAAATTAATGCAAAAACCAAGCATTTGTTAAATGCTTCTATTACTCATGCAGACACCTAATTATCACTCTCGTCTCCCTGTTCAATCTATGAGCAACAGTGATAGGAGTGTGTATAATGCATGCGTATAAAGTGTCTGAGCACCAAATAAGTCCTTAAGGGCATGATAGGGGGCTGAAACTGGTCGCATTAGGAAATAAAACAAAAAGCCACCTCTACCTTCAAGTCATGGGTCACTAATCAAAAGCACTTAGGCAGAGCAGGGGTTGCTGTGGTGATAGTGGGGTTGGGTGATGGGAGAGATGGTCATTTATCACCAGCTCTTTCATAGTGAGGCTGAGCGGAAAAGACAGCGCGGACTCTGCAGACAAACGACCAACAATAAAGAGAATTAATCAGCACTGATTACCTGACTCCCCACAGCCGATAATGGAGGCTTAGAGAAACAAAGAGAGAGGGAGAGGAAGGACGAAATATGGCCGGTAGGAAAGACGGAGCCAGATCAGAGGAGCAAAAATGGGTTACAATAGAGTTAGGAGGATCCTTTCACTCTGAATGAACTCGCTCTTCAAACAGGACATGTAATTTTTCGCTTCATTTTTCTATTATTCTATAAAATAAACCACTTAAATGAGTGCCATGTCCCAGAGGCCAATAGCAGAGTCTTGTAATACCACTGAATGGCTGTCACTGCCTTGCGGTCCATCAATACGGTGATCAGAACTCAACTCGGGCTGATGGATTAAACAACTGAACGAATTGGATTCTTCTTGCTGTGCAACGCCAGCTAATCGTTCCCCACACACAGCAATAAAACGCACCTCCAGCACAGTCACATGCTCATACTCTCTATTCAGCTCACCAATCACTGCCACATCTGATTTTGATATCTGAGATGACAAGGATTGGCCATTTATACTGGCTGTCTGGTAAGCTAACCATCAAGTAAAACAGAGACTGTGATAAATCAGCCACATCTGCCCTTTTATACCCAATATCAGAAACTACATGAGGCCTATTGGCTAGATTAAAGATTCACTTTATGAGGATAGTTTGTTTGTTTCAAATGCGAAGACTTTAATCTGTTTAAGGCTGGTGGTGTTTTGAAATACATTTATTCTAGAGTTCTGAGTTATGTTTGTATTATGATCTGTGTCTCATATTTTAAGGTTACATCAAAACATGACCCCAATGCGATTACCCTTACCTATCATGTTAATAATTTGCTTTGAAATAGCACATGGCGGTCACTCCATTGCCACAAACCTCCCATAAAGACTTCCCTGGTGCTCATTGGTTAAACTGCCATAACACGTCTAAATGAACACTCCTTAATGGACCCTGATGGGTGAACTTAATCCAAACCCAGTTGCTACTGATCAACTGGGGAGAAGGAACAGATGGAATACTTTGTGTGTGCGTGTGCATGTGTGTTATATTGTGTGCGGCCAAGTACAGGGATATCCTGGACGAAAACCTTCTCCAGAGTGCTCAGGACCTCAGACTGGAACTAAGGTTTACCTTCCAACAAGACAATGACCCTAAGCACACAGCTAAAATAACGAAGGAGTGGCTTCCCAACAACTCTGTGACTGTTCTTGAATGGCCCAGCCAGATCCCTGACTTAAACCCAATTGAGCATCTCTGGAGAGACCTAAAAATGGCTTTCCACCAACGTTTACCATCCAACCTGACAGAACTGGAGTGGATCTGCAAGAGGGAATGGCAGAGGATCCCCAAATCCAGGTGTGAAAGACTTGTTGCATCTTTCCCAAAAAGACTCATGGCTGTATTAGATCAAATGGGTGCTTCTACTAAATACTGAGCATTTTTCAGTTTTTCTTTTTTAATAAATTTGCAAAAATGTCAACAATTCTGTGTTTTTCTGTCAATATGGGGTGCTGTGTGTACATTAATGAGGGAAAAAAATTAACTTAAATGATTTTAGCAAATGGCTGCAATATAACAAAGAGTGAAAAATTTAAGGGGGTCTGAATACTTTCCGTACCCACTGTAAGTAATAAAAAAATGTCCAGTTAATTTTGTTAATAGACATTCATTAGAGAAGTTAAACTTATGCTCACATTTCATGAAAATGCATAGAAATAAGACACAATTGATGGAATGCTACCACAAAGGATACAATGAGGCATTTAAAATGGAAATAATTGAACCAAAGTAGAAACGTGAAGTTTATAATTTTATAAAAACACTTACATTAATATTTCTGTTAAAATTGTCTATGATTTGACCTGTTGTTCTTGTTTTTTTATGGTTGTTTTAAAATTAAAAAATTGGATATAACTATAATTTTCACACTAAAAATTATATACTTTTATGTTTTAATGTTTACAGATTTGCCCCATTCACTTTCATTCAATGTAGCACACTGTAACTCAGTAAAAGGAAAATTTTAATTGTATGGCAATCAGCACTGTGCTGTTGATTGAGCATAACCTGTTTTGAATCTGCAATATTCCTTTATTTAATCTAGCACTATGGGTTACCCAGCATGCTTTGCAGCTGTGGTCAAATCCAACCAAATTTGATCTGATTTCTTGCTAGGACTGTAAAATGTTTAAACAGGTTTAGGGGGTATTTGTAAATGATTAAGTTTACATTTCACTGTAATATTGCATGTTCCAAATGCAATATTGCATATGCAGTATTAGTATGCAATATTATACTATGTAGCCTATTAAACATGTAGTATTATATATAACAGTAGATTAAGAATAATTTACATGTTTTAAGTACTTCAGGTTGGGAACTCATTGGTTGCTTTTCATCACTGGTCTCAAGACAGTTTCTAGTTGCCCCCCTGTTGATAGCACTGGCTTACCTTTGTTTACTTTTACGTTTTCCTTGAATTAAAAAAAAAAACTGATGAGCATTATCTTGAAGTACAACTCAGACTCAACGCTCATTAAAGAGGTTATAGATTCTATTACAGCTCCTCTTTGGCATGAGCAATCCCTCACACTGCATAGAGTTGCTACTGATCAACTGGGGAGAAGGAACAGATGGAATACTTTGTGTGTGCGTGTGCATGTGTGTTATATTGTGCAGTAATTGCTATGTTTCTCTGGTTTATTGGCTCTTAACCTTGGGCTGACAGCTACTGAGCAGGTGGGGTTTCTGTTGCTATGACAACAGCTCTGAGTTCAGGAGTGTGCTGGCATGTAGGATATACCCCACTGCGGCTTAGCCAAAATCACCCATAAAATAAAAAGGCAAAGAAAACGAGAGTCAGTGAGAAATCGAACGCTTTACTTTTAAGGATTTAGTGGTTATTTGAGAGGCCTGGTTTAAATGGGTGGGCCTCCAGTGGGCCTCTGGTGGGCCTCCCTCCCCACGGCCCAATATGTGTAGGCTATATCAGTGTTTCCCAACCCATCAGATACGGCTCAGATATCCCTTTATCAAACTTAAAATGTGTTCATTTGATTTCAACTGATATTATATTAAATATATAATTTAGCATTATCATTCAAGGAATGATACATTTGTAGCATAATATTACCACAAAATCAAC